CTCCTTTCTACAGCTTCTGCTGTGTGGACAGATCTGGAGTGAAGCAGCTCAGATTTGACTATTTTTGGGACAAGTTTTTGTGGATTTTTGGGGTCTTTAACCCATCCCACCCCTCAAACAAAGGCAGAAGTTTTGATCTCCCTGCTTTGCCTCCATACAACACACACACACTTGGAGGCTCATCCAGATCCTCCCAAACCTCCAAATTATTGCAGGAATTTCCAGAAGAAATTTTAAAAAAACCCTGGGAGGGCATAGAAAATGGATCTTTCCCAGTAACAACCCCTGAACTGGGTTCAGTTTGCTTCCAGTGATTTGTCTTCCCCTGATTCCCAGTTTTTAGCCCCCTTTTCCTTGCCCTGTCTCCTCTGGGAGTTGCCCAACTGGAGGAGGTGTTTTCTGTGCCATTCCACCCCAAAATTCCAGCTTTACATCCAATTTCCATGCTCCGTTTGTGTCCCTTGTCTTCGAACCTGGGGTCATGGATGGTCATCTGGTTTGTCCCAGAATTCCAACTTTACTTCCAGTTTTTGTGCCTTCTTTGTGCCCTTTGGCCTCAAACCTGGACTCTCCTGCCTCATCCACCTTCCTTCTTGAAAAATCCTGAAGTCTCNTGTTCTTTCGTGTCCTATAGTGACAGGATCCAACCACTGCCACGTCCCCAAACCGCAGCTCAGGGACAGCTCAGGCAGGAAACCGAGGGCGCTGTGCTGTGCCTAGGAATGGATTTTGCAAATATTTCTCTTGTTCAGCCCAAAATCTTCTCGGCTGAGGTGTCCAGACCCCCTAACTGAGGGATTTTTGGGAATGCTGAACGGATTCAGGAGCCAACTCCAGCGGTGGCTTCAACGTTGCCACCGACGGCGACAGCGCCAAGTGACGCTCGGCTAAAATCCCTCCTCAGAGGGATCCCAAAGAATTCCCAGTGGGAACATACCTCCTTCAGGGGTGGGGAATTCCTTCATTTCGCTGCGGGGCCCGTCCCCCCGGCCGTTGGTGACCACCATCTCCAGCTTGTAGTTGCTGTAAGGGAACAGCCGGGACACGATGCCCCGGTTGCGGTCTCCAGGAAAACTCACAAACTGCCGTTTTTTGGAGACCCACAGGTTCTTCAGCAAGCTGCTGTCTCTCCAGAAATAGGCCTTCAAGAAACAGGCAGGCCAGGTGAAGCTTTTTTTTTTTTTCCCCCGTTAATAAAGAGGTTTTGGGGGTTTTTAGATGTTAAAAAGCAGAATTTTGTCTTTAAGGTGGGAGTTTTTAGAGGAATTAGTGAAGCTCCGTGAGGAAAATCTGGATGTTATCCAAGGAAGAGGCTGAGCAGGGGGTTAAGAGCTTCCCAAAACATGGAGCAAAACCACTGAGCTCAGACTAAAGCTGCTCCTAATTCTCAAATACTAAAATCCAAGTGGTTCTCCCTTTCCACTCGCAATGGACAAGGAAAGGTGGGACACACTCAGGCATTAACAAAATCCTGAATTTGGGAAATCTCCCATTCAAGCTCCTGACTGTAAATCCTATTTCATGCAGACACAACAATCCATTCAGAAAATCCCTCAGAATCAGGAAAAGTGGAGCCAGCAGACGATTGGGCAGGGAATGCTGACATTCTTTGCCAGATGTGATGTTTTGGGAATGTTTTAATGCCCAGGGAAGGGCCCTGCTCAGGTTTTGGCTTGATTTGAATGGTTCCATCCTCTGGGCATCAGCAGCAAATGTAAATATTAGCTATAAGTCTGGAAAGACTGATAAATATAAAATATAAACCTGGAAAGACCTGGAAAAGCACAGATCCACGCTGGCTTTAGCTCTCAGTTAGTCCTGACTGCAGGTTTAGGCTTTGCAGGGGTTGTTGATCAGTAAAAAACGCTGTCAGTACTTTGGGGATGACACAAAACCTGACCTGGTTGGGGTCACTCCCTCAGAGCCCCTTTGTGCTCCATGGCCAGGACCATCCCAACCCCTCCCTGTTTTCCTGGAGAATCCCAAATCCTGCAGCAAACCCGGAGGAAGCAACAGGAGACATCCCCAACCCCATCCTGACACCCCAAAGAGCAAATCCTCCATGCTGCCCCAAACCCAAAGGCTCCTGGTGACCGAAGGAAGTTTTCTGTCATCCCCACACCCAGCAGCTCCATGCCCTTGGGAGCCAGCTGGGAATTTCGGGAGGTTTAGCTGTGTTAATGGTCAGTGCTGGGCGGGGGTTTGGGATTTGGGGAGTTTGGGATTTGCTCACTCGGTACTCCTTGAGCTGTCCCTGGATGGTGTCCAGGTGCACCCGGGTCCAGGTCAGAGCTATGGCAGTGCTGTTTAACACTCTGATCCTGACATCCGTGGGCGCAGCCTTGGGATCTGGGTGGGCAGGGACAAAGCAGAGTGGCCATCAGGAACCTGGCATGACCCTGGAGCTCGGACGGATGGACAGCTGGACAGCTGGACATCCCCTGCTGTGCTTTTCCCATCGCAAATCCTGTTAGCAGAATCCCCACAGTGGCTTCACCTCTTCCGTGGGAAGAAAATAAATCCGATTTCACAGCTCCGGCCATCAGGAGAGCATTCCTGACCCAGCTAAAAGGGGAAATTCCTGCTGCAGGGAAGGATCTGGCTCACCTCCATCTCCAGGTGAGGGATCCCAGCACGCCCAACCCTCTCCTTCCTCACCTGTCCCAAAGTTGGA